GGGGCTGGGGCAGGGCTAGGGCGGCACCCCGTGACCTCTTTTTTGAGTGTTGAAATATGGTAACCCTAAATAAATAAGAGTAAAGATTATCAGTGTTCCAGAAAACAAACGACTCCCCTCTCCATAAATCAGAGTGTTTTAGGAAATTAACATTTACAGACAAGTTCACTCTCAACAATAAGTTGCATTAAAAATATTTTGAAATGCCTAAGCTAGATACCTTGCCCATGAAAGCTATTCTTTCCCCCATTAAAGGGAAGCAAAAACCTTTGCCTACTCAAGGCAAACATGTTTACAAATATACAATCAGTGCTAGCTAGAACAACAACTCTGATACAAATAGCTCTAGATCCTACTTGAATATTCATCTGGATATCTTGGAACCATGTCAACTTTTAAAAGAAAGGAGTTATGTTTGAAAGAGCAGTATGGTAAAAACAAGTAAAAGCTTCTCTAAAAGATTCTTAGTAAAGGTTTAGTTAAAAAAAAAAGCTCTCATTTTGAAATCTTCTGCTTTTTGTATTAAAAATATCAATTTTGGGAGGAAAAAAAAGACACTGCTTAAGAGTGTGGATTATGCCACCCTCTGTTCTCAGTTCCATCCTTCTCTTCTAATTCTGAGACCAATTTTCAGTGTGTGGTCGAATTGGGTGGGGCCATGTTCCCACCCCCATTCAAACAGGCAGAATTTCTTTCAACATTCGGGAAGGATGAATAATAGAGGTTTAAGTTCTCCTGTGAATTTCTGCTTTGGGGTTTCCACCAGTTTATTCTTGGGGGACTATAGGATACTGGTCCATTGCAGAGTGAAGTTCATCAGTTACTAGGAGTTCCAGAACAAAGTAATAATACTTTGTACTTCTCTATCACCTTCCAACCAAGGATCCCAGAAAGATTTATGAACATTAATTAACAGGGTGGATTTGATTTAAAACAAATTGATTTAAATCATGATTTAAATCACTAGTCAGGAAGACTCGATTTAATCATGGTTTTCTACATAAAAGTGCATTCTTGTTGGTTGTTATAACCTTCATACATATTCTTCACAACTCAGAGATAGAGAGATGTAGGTTTCATTTTTAGAAGGTACAACTATACATTTTTAAACAGTGATTTATTTTGAAAACTTTTCAGATTAGTTTTATAGCTATACTGTATCAGAAAATGAATGATTGTTTGGTTATTTCGTTTACCAAAGGTAATTGAAGCAGCTATTTATGAAGTCATTGGGAGGTGAACTATCCCAATTCAACAGGTTAATCATTAATATTTGGAGGATTTTCTTGCCATGCTGTATTAGGAGAACATCACCAGACAGACATTTAAATTGTTTTATTTAACTAAAACATCGTTAAATAGTCTGGATTTTTTTCTTCTACAGCAAACATATAATATTTTAACAAAACAAGCACATGTCCCTTGCTTCTCACATTTATCTCCAGACTTCTTCTCCTTGTCCAGATCTATTCTGCCCCCAACAATCTTCTATTCATTGAACTTTTTGAAACTTTGCACTTTTAGAGAGGTAAGGGATTAACTCTGTGTACACAAATTTGCAAATGGACAATAGAGTTGAGGTCTGTTATTTCTCACCTCTATATATTATTTATTTATTTAAAACATTTTTGCTGTTAACAAGCATGTTATCTCTGGAGACACAAATCCACAGTTTGAGAACTGCAAAACTAAGCATCTCTGATGGCATCTTCTAGACTGAACACTGTGTCCCATTGGGTAGATAGAAATATTAACCTATATAATACATACAGAAGCCCCTGGAACCCCATAAGATTGGGTCCCTAATCCATGAACTATCGGAACTCATTTACAAAATTTTTCTTAAACATTACATAAATATATTGTCTCATATTATAGAATTAGAATTTATAATCCCTATTCCATGATGAGATATCTTTGAGTTATAATGTATCTTAAATAAAACTATCTTTAGATAGGTTTTTTCCTCAAAGCATTTTATCCAAAAAATCTGATTTAAATAAAAAAAAATCCATTTTTTTTAAATCATTGATTTTTATCCACCCTGTTAATTAACCCTCACCACATCTTTGTGAGGAAGGGAAGTATGATCCCATTTTACTGTGACCTAGACAAAGAAAGGTGACGCATGGTGCTTGAGATCATTTCAGTGCAGTGCACTTTACTGCTGGAGTCCAGTGCTGCAATGGATTCACTCTCCTGTCTCATTCTCTGGCACATTTATATTGTGGCAGTGCTTTGCCTTAGAGGACAACCAGGGCACAAACACATGAAATTAGTCTTAGCTGGCTATTTCCTGCCAATTGCCTCTCTCCCCCTCCTTTTCATTCAGCCTTCTCTTGTGTATTATTTGCTCTCTTATTTTCCTCCCCCGGGGCCTTGCTCACTGAAGGCCTGAACCAAAACTGACTGAAGCAAGTGGGAAACGCCCAGAGACTTCAGTTTTGGATTAGGCCCCCAAAGGCGGTATATAGGGGTGCTTGTGTATATAGGGGTGCTTGTGAGCACTGTCCCATGTGCTTTTATAAAAACGTCAAGAGAGAGCTGGCTGTATTTTAAAGAATACTTATTGAGGTTGCAGGAACAAACCATCCCAATGTGTAGAAAGAATACTGGGGAGGGTTAGTTTAGTGGTTTGAGCATTGAGCTGCTAAACCTAGGCTTGTGAGTTCAAATCTGTCTGGGGATTGGTCCCCCTTTGAGCAAGGGGTTGGACTAGATGACCTCTGAGGTCCCTTCCAACCCTGATATTCTAGGATTCTAAATATGACAGGCGACCAGCTTGGCTTAACAGTGAAATCCTTGCTGATCTTAAACACAAAAAAGAAGCTTAAAAGAAGTGGAAGATTGGACAAATGACCAGGGAGGAGTATAAAAATACTGCTCACGCATGTAGGAGTGAAATCAGGAAGGCCAAATCACACTTGGAGTTGCAGTTAGCAAGGGATGTTAAGAGTAACAAGAAGGGTTTCTACTAGGGTTACCATCCGTCCATATTTCCCCGGACATGTCCGGCTTTTGCGTCTCTAAATAGCTGTCTGGGAGGAATTGGTAACAAGATTAAAATGTCCAGGGTTTTTTTCTCCCTCGCCTCCCTCCCTCCCTTCCGTGGAAAGTGCGGCTGCTGATTGGGCAGCTGGGCCAATTGAGCCGCTCCCATCGGCCTCCAGCAGCCAGAGCCCTCCCCTGCTCCCCCCTCCCTCTGTCTGCAGCCCTGTGTAACACACAAACCGACCCACTGGGCAGCGTGTTTTGCAAACACGTGGAGCCAGAATGGTAAGGGGAGTCTGGGGAGGGGCAGTCAGGGAGCGGGGGAGTGTTGGATGGGTCCCCGGTCTCCACCTGCCACCCCCCCTCCACGCATCCCCCCTC